CCAGTTTCTGTTTGGGTTTTGTGTGGATTAACCAGCAGATTTGGCCCCATGTGATAACGTCCGTAGTGCCTCTTCCTTGAATGTTCAGGTTTCATTTTTAAAAATGGCAGTCACAAAACAATCCTATATCCATGGTCAGTTCCCTACTGGTTGCAGGAGATACGTCCACCCAGCTGAAGTGCTTGTTTCTGCTGGCAAAAAGTCCCCAAATAGTATGTGTGAAGGGGGGGACAGGGTGACCAGACACCCTCCTTTTCCAGGACATGTCCTACATTTCAACCTTCTGCCCAGGAAGAATTCCAAAATGTCCTCTTTTTTCAGCATGACTAGGAGGCATGGATTTATATTTATATGAGCATTTCAAGCTTTTATTTTGTAATGTCCTATATTTGTTCTTGATTGTCCTACATTTCACAGTGCCTTGCCCTCCTTTGCAGTTATGACATCTGGTCACCCTGGGGGAATGTCACAGGCAGGTCATTAGCTGGATCTTCTGGAAGTGCTGTAATAAGGGGGAGACAGAGGAACATGTTTTTGGGAACTGGCTTTCAGTGCAAGACTAGTTGCATCGGCTGCTGGGATAATTAGTACAAACTTTCTTCCCCCTCTGAACGCAGAGTGATATATCTGAATGTAGGTGACTCCATCTTAAGGTTATCCCTGGAGCAGGGGTGATGGTAGCTGCCATGTTGCTGAGCAGTAAATCCATTAAAGATCTATTCAAGGTGCTGAGACAATGTGGGGCTAGTATTCATCATCTTGGACACCTTCTTTGTATTTCAGAGAAAACCTGGATTGATTGCCCCACTAACATGTGGCGACACCAGCTGCCAATGCCTATGATGTTATAGGCTATGCCCAGGCAATGACTTTCCCAGGCAAAATTCACATCTGAGCAGATAAATAAGCCCTGATCTGTCCATCCAAGATCCAATATGCTCATCATTACACAATTTTGTTAATTTCATTAGTATGTGAATCTCAGCTGACCCTAATAAACGAAGTATTGTGCTGTGCAAAATGAAAGCCTACATTTTGGGCCTCTTCCTGGAGGATGGTTTGGAAATATGACTATGGTCCAAAACACACTGCAGAAATAATCCAGCTTGAGACAGATTTAACTGTGCTGGCTCAGTGCTAGGAAGCCATGGGAACTGTAGCTTGTTGTGGGCACCAGAGCTCTCTGGCAGAGAAGACTAAGGACGTTATCACATGGGGAGTTGCGGGGAGAAAGTGGAAATAAACTGGATGAGCGGAAGACTTTAATTTACGGGATTTGTCCTGTTCCGCCTCGTCTGATAACTAAATTCGAATTTAAAAGGGGGTTAATTCGAACAAAAACCTGATCTTTTCAAATCCTCAAAAATCCTGAAAATGAAAAGATCAGGTTTGCATTGTAATTATACCATCAAGCACGTCACTGCCTCTACCCTTCAGCATCAACCCTCTAAAACAGCTTTTTCCCTTGCTAGATGGCAGAGCTGATTGTATCAGGTTTAGATCTGGTTCTAAACATTCATTTGCTAAAGTGATTATCTACAGCTTCCATTTCACAGATACTCAGACTTGTCTTGTGCCCTTATATTGAAAGACCCAAAAGACAAGTCTTGAGCACTTTGAAGACCATCAGATTCTTTTCTTTAAAATAACTTGTGGTTCTCTGTGGAGGGGAGACATTTGAACATCTGCTAAAGTAAAATTCCATATTTCTAGGTGAATAGTGCCCCAAATGAATCAGTTCACCACTTTACTGTGGTTGGAAAAAAGATTAACAATGGAATATATACAAACTCCTCCTAAATGGATGAATTCTGATTTACTGAACAAGAAATAGTTGATATTTAGAAGCTCTTATCTCCAAGACAAAAATGTAGCACAATGCTCCAAAGCTGTTTAAAGCAGGAAGTGAAAGATATCATGTTCAGTTTCAGTGACAAGAAGAATGTAAGTCTACTATATAATTCTAATTTTTGGAATTTAGCCAAGAAAGAAGGATTAACTTATCTGTTCGAAGGGAAAGTGAAGTAGAACAATCAAGCTCAAGGTTCTGCATATTATCCAAAAGACAAATTATGACAGTCATCAGAATTTGCTATGGAATGGTCTGGGGTCTGACTCAGATGCATGTGTAACTAGCTTATTTGTTTTTCAGACAGCAGTTGGTTACACATTTCAGAATTAAATAAGAAGCGTAAGTAGAGTACCTGCAGAAAAGATGCACAAATCTAATAAATAAAATTTTATTGGGGGGCAGTAAGTATTGCATTGATTTGAAAGTAAGTATTGCATATATTTCAATCCCATGATACTTCCCACATGACTTTTTCCATGGCTTCAGCTTTGTCAAAATGTTTAGATCAGTATGGTATAGTGATTTGAACATTAGAGTATAATTCTGGAGGCCAGGGTTCGAATCCTTGCTTAGCTATGGAAGCCTATTGGGTGATTTTGAACAATTCACATTCTCCCAGCACCAGAAGAAGGGAAAGGCAACCCCACCCCCTCTGAACAAATAAGGGAAATAATCGTGTCACTTTATTCTGCTTTGGTCAGACCTCACCTGAAATATTGTGTCCAGTTCTGGGCACAACAATTCAAGAAGGATGTGGACAAGCTAGGGCGTGTCCAGAGGAGGCCAACTGAAATGGTGAAAGATCTGGAAACAATGCCCTAAGAGGAATGGCTTAGGGAGCTGGGGATGTTTAGCCTGGAGAAGAGATGGTTAAGAGGAGATAGTCCCGTTTAAATATTTGAAGGTGTGTCATATTGAAGATGGAGCAAGCTTGTTTTCTGCTGCTTCAGAGACTAGGAAGTGGAGCAATAAATTCAAGCTATAGGAGAAAAGATTCCATCTAAACACTAGGAAGAACTTCCTGACCGTAAGAGGTGTTCGACAGCAGAACACACTACCCCAGAGAATGCTGGAGTCTCTTTCTCTGGAGGTTGTCAAATAGAGACTGGATGGCCATCTATTGGGAGTGCTTTGATTGTGTATTCCTGCATGGTAGGAGGTTGGACTGGATGGCCCTTGTGGTCTCTTCCAACTTTATGATTCTATGATTCTATGAAATCTTGCCAAGAAACCCCTGTGATAGCTTCACCTTAGGGTCAACATAAGTCAGAATGACTTGAAGACACACAGCAGTATCTGCTTAGAAGAAAGTTCTAACAGGCTGAATGGAACTTACTCCCAGGTAATATTGTATTGGATTACAACCTTAATATCATCCTTCTCACCATTCTGACCATTTGGATTATTTATCAGAATAATAAAACATAAATAAATAAGCTATTTAATTCACCAAAAAATGGACAGTATCCAGAGATGCAGATATATCGAAACATGAATAATTTATATCCAGATTCTTATTATGCTTACTTGTAAATAAGTCCCTTTTGATTTCAGTGGAATCTTTGCACAGAACTGCACATAAAAGTCTTCATTGCATGGCTTAGCTGAATAATAAAATGCTTCTCAAAATGACATTCTGGCCATGGAGAATGAAAATTGATTTAATAACCATTATTTATGGTTTAATTTGCAAGTTCAGAACACTCTCATTTTTTATCCTGGACTTCACAAGGAAAAAATCCATGAGGAAAGGAAGATTGATTGAGTATAAACTGTTAAAATATTCCCCATGCCAATAAGAGCAAATGCTTGTGAGGGTCTATTATATGAAGTTTAAGAGTTCATGTCACCACATTCAAGACTGAGAAATTTAATTAAGTGGAGAATAGCAAAGGGTTTGGTTCCTTCTGTAAACTGACAACAAACTGATAATACACTACATTATTCACTGCCAGAAGTGTTACACTAGGTCACAAGGATGCTGCAAGATATGAAAAAAAATGTTTAAATAGCATTAAGCAATAGTAATAACATTTACATTTCTATACTGCTTCATAGTGAACTCAACACTATCTAAGTAGTTTACCATCTACAGTGGGTCCTTATTATCCGCTGGGGTTTGGTTCCAGGATCCCCTGTGGATAACGAAATCCATGCATGCTCAAGTCCTATTGAATATAATGGCGTAGCAAAATGGTGTCCCCTCTATAAAATAGCAAAATCAAGGTTTGCTATTTGGAATTTATACTTTTAAAAATATATATTTTCAAGCTGTGGATGCTTGAATCTGTAGATAAAAAATCCGTGGATAAGGAGGGCCAACTATATAAGCCAATTGCTCCCAACAAGCTGGGTACTCATTTTACGAACCTAGTCAACCTGGAGCCCTCTGGGATCAAGCTCACAATATTGTGGCTGCAGTACTGACATTTAACCACTGCACCACTAGGGCTCCACCAACACAAAGCACTATTCAAACAACATGTTCTAAGCAACTGTTTTATCATGCTTAATAACATCATCAGGACTTGCCTTCTGCAACATCACCAGGTTTGAGTCATCAGATCTCCTGACTTGGCAATACATGCTTTGTAGAATGAGGATGTGTTCCATAATTTGATTAATGTAAAGACAACAATGATTTTTTTTAATGCTAAATTTTTCAGGCAATATTCAAATGCCCTGTTGTGTTTTTGTTGTCAATCTGCCCTATTTCTTTTCTTTTCTTTTCTTCTCTCTCTCTCTCTCTTCCACTCACTTTCCCCTCTCCCTTATATCCACCCATTTGTTGTAGTTTTGCTGACCAGGAACTGAATCAATGGAAAGCCAAGAATACTCATTGATAGGGACAAAGCCACTCAAATGCTGGCTGAGCTAAAGTCCATCTCATCTTATTTTATGTCCTTAGCTGCTTAGATGTTAGCTAACCCACCCACCCCAGACTGACAATAGGAAAACATTACTGGAGGCAGAAGAGTAGCTAATGAGGCACAAGTAAAGGTGCATGACATACAACTCTCTCTATCCCTACATCTAGAAGATACCTCCCAGCATCTATTGCCTGAGTTACCCACCTAGAAGCTTAATGGAAGAGGCAGCCCTTAACAGGACCTTGAAGGAGTGCAGTATTCAAGGAGATTTCAGCTTAGGAAGGATTTGAATCACAGCTACATTCAAAGCCTTGGTTGATATCTAAGACTGAGATACAAAAAAAAAA